AGGGTTGCTATAGCAAAGGGGTTGAATACTTATGCAATTGAGAATATTCAAATTTTCTTTGAAAACCTAACTTACAAAATATCAGCATTTTTTAGCTTTCTCAGTTTGGAGTAGATTGTGTAGATTCTAAATATAAAGTCCTATTTGAAAGTTTCAAGAGTGCAAGCTCAGACAGCAACAGAATGTGAAAACTTTGCAGGGGGGTGAATACTTGTACAAGTCACTGTATACATAGTTTGAAACAGCATTTAAATCTTGCTTATTAGTATAATTAGGTATATATATACATTTTTTTTCAAGGGTGTAAAAACATTTTTCACAGGTTAGTAAGGATGAGAAATGCACTAACCTGAAGAGAAATTCTAGGAGTCCAAGATTTGTTTTTTGCTGTAATGACTAAATTATTACAAATTGTAAATATATATATGTATTCAAAACTCTATTTACAAAAACAAGAAAAACCTTTGCACTTTCTGTTCGTTATCCAAAAGTCATAACGGAGATTGCCTGAGGTAATAGCACCCAAAAGCATTGGAGATATCCCATCTATCAGACAAAATCCAAAAAGCAGATGAGAAACCAGTCAGCAGTCATGGAAAATTCATTAAAAGTACAGAGTTGAGAGCTTACACCCACAGCATCTCAACTCCTAGTGCCTTTCACTGTCTGAAGCCAATTGTGGGAAGGCAGTTACCCTTAAAAGTTTTTCTAATATCAAAAGTAGAAAGAAAATATGAGACCACCCTAATAATATTTCTACTAAAAGTTTTTTCCCAACCTCCATATGTAAAATTTCTAATAGTTCCTAAAGTAGAAGAATAACAATAAAACCACCCTAAAAATTTTACTTTTGGTTTCTCCCAACCTCCACCCTTTTCTAAAAAGATGACAAAAGTATTTATTAAATAGCAATTAAATACAGAGAAAACAATGAACAGGTAAATGATTCTTTCATGTATTTCACTAAATATTCTTGTTAGTTGAAATATCCTTTCAAATTTCCCATTTTTGGAAGAGGTATACAGCCTATACACTTTTTTTAGTTAAGACTATACCACTGTAAATTTGTTTTGATTAAATTTGATATATACCTAGCTCATATTCATAAATACAAACCCACTGTTACCACAGATTAAAGTGAAAAGGTTGGGTGCTATGACTGAAGACACCATGAACAGCTGAGATTAGTACTCACTATTTAGCTGAATCTGTAAGTTGATATTCCCTCCGTCTGTCATAGCATTCCTGGATTCCAGGGTCTGCCCATAACGACTTGATTGCTTCTACATAGGGACTACCAAATGTCGTGACTGTTTCATAATCTACAGAATGAACTAGTTCAGCATTTTCCTGGACAACAAAAAATTCAAGAGGTTTAAATAACATAACTATATAGAGCTAGTTTAATTTTACTAAAAATCTTTTTCTGTTCATAAGAATAACACTATTAGCTTCAAAGTAACTAAATATCTTAAGAAAAGTGTAATTACAGTGCTTTAAAGTTTGTGTGTGTGTGTGTGTGTGTGTGTGTATTACATACAACTATTGTGGTATATTAATCAATAACAGTGACTGTTATCACATACCCAAATACAACAACTTCATTCACTTAGTCAATATTAACATCGTACATGACCTCCAGATCAACAACAAGTACTCATTGAAATATGCACTAATCAGTTTTGATAAACAAGAGCCAAGTTAACCGACATCTGTAATGTGGTAAATATAACAAAGGTTACCATAAATTCATATCTAACATCAAAATGTTCAGTAATCAAAATAATACCTTTACATGGTCTTTAAACAAGTCTCTAGTTTGTTACAGAATTGAACATCAAGTAACTCGTATTTTGTACTGTAGAAGCTATAAGCCTAGTCTTCAGGAAATAGTTTATCACACGATGTTCTGCATGCTACAGTCATGACAAGAATAGGTACTAACAAACATTCTATTGTGCATGAGTGAGAGAAATACATGGTAGAAGGGTACCAGAAATTTTATCATGCATTGTGCATACTAGCTGAAGTTAACCTCCCTTGTTTTAAGTGGTAAAGACCTCCTAGAAACAGTGTGTAAATGCTAGAGCAAGGGTAAGTAAATGATATACCCTTGGCTCAAGATAGCTGCTAATGAGTTAATTAGTAAAGAGCAAGTCCATGACCAGATCAACCTGCCTAGCTTAGGCTAGACTTGAAATAAAACAAAATTTCACTCCCTAATAAGTTAATTCTTTTACAGTGTTACGAAGGTTCTAAAGTATACATTCGTTCATGTATAGAAGAATTTAACTGATTAAAAATTAAAGCTTAGAGAGATTTCAAGCAAAATTAAAACTCTAGAAACATTAACCAGACAGTTCTTCTGCCAAAATGTTAAATATAATAATAAAATGAAAATCAATGTTTTTTAAATTTTAAGTTTTTATTAACTTGTATATATTTTTAATTTTTTAATCTTTACAAATAAATTACTGTGCAAGTAAAAAAATGTTTTATCATTTTATTAAACTGCAAATTCTACAATTTATATACTTTCTTTTAATTAATATCCAATAAATATTTTCATACTAAATTCATTATTGTGTGTTTAACCCTTTCACAACGGGCTCATGTATTTTACATGTTGTTCTAATCATGAAGGTATATACACTATAACTCTAAAGAAACATGTATTTTCACAAGATTTGGCAAGTTTTCAGTAAACAATACAAGTTTCTTGTAGCAAAAAAAGTGTGTCAATAAATGTGTGTTAACTACTCTGAGTGCAAATTGATTTTCATGTTGAGATTAAAAATACTTTTCTTTATCTGAAAATTTTCAAATTTTATTTCCATAATTTGTAAAACCTCCAAAATAAATATCAAACTTTTTTTTCAAAAAAAATTCATATTTTATTTATTAGTCTCTCTACCATAACTCTTTTCAGGGTTGGTCAATTTGACCAACCTTGTAACCATAAAAAAATTAGGAAATATATCTAAACTACCTTTTTTGATTTCTAAAAGGACTAAATTGTAATAGGAAACCCCAACTGTTTCTCCAAAGTAGCTTAAAGCTCATAACAGTATTCATCTAATTACATTTTTTTTTTATTGACCTTTGAACTGTTTATAACTAATAATTCTGGCACACAAGTTATAAATCACTTGGCAAATGCACAGCTCAAGTTACCTTATAAAATGACATAACAGGAAACTACAACTGTTTCTCCTAAATAGCTTAAAGCTCATAACAGTATTCATCTAATTATATTTAATTTTGTTTTACTGACCTTTGAACTGTGTCTAACTAATAATCCTGCTACACAAGTTATAAATCACTTGGCCAATGCACAGCTAAAGTTACCTTATTAAATGACAATGCATGAGCTGCTCACAAGCATACCACCTGAAGAATTTGTTTTTCACTATCTTACCTAATAAGGTTCTAATTTTTATATTTTAGTTACTTTTATAATAATGAATAAAGAATACACATGAAAAACAAAAAAATACAGTACTTATCTGAGTCCTTTTTGTTGTTTGCTATCAACTGTCAATGAAACATATGCCTACTTTTTTTTAATACTAATGGTACTACTACACTTCGGTTGCCAGCGGATCACGGTCCAGGTCATTTCAGTTGGAATGAAGTGAACAAAGGAACAAATGATGCTGCTGAAGACCTGTCACCTGAAAAAGCCACTGTCGAAGAAGAAACTCTACCCGGTTTTGAGAAGGGAAACAGTGAAGCCCTTAATGAAGTTACTACCACTGATGTGACTGTTACTGATAATGGGACATTTCCTGATGGAGCAGATGAACCCCACATGAAGCAGAAGCCAATGAGATGGAGACCAGTACGGAAGAAGATACGTCATGTAAAATTAATAGACTTTGTTGTATTTCAATTTTGTGTGTGTAATTTCTATACATTTAATTAAGTTATTGTTAATTATCTATTGGTTTAATGCAAGTGGCTATTGTTCGTGACGAACAATACCAAGGAAAAGGTAGTGTTACGACAGTGGAAGTCACATGATGCTGGGAGCATGCGCGCTACAGTCTCTGGAAGGATCATGAATTTTCCTGGCAACTCTAGTTTGTTCAAGGCACCATCTTTTTTGGTATATAAGCCTGGCGAGAAAAACCAGCGTGATCGAAAAGATATGCAGATAAATTGAAGATAGAGATAATTGAGTCAAGCGGACATTAGGCACCATAAGTAAAGTGTGTGAATCACTGTGATTTATAGTGTCAGTTATAAAAGTTGTTAAGTGTATTACAAAGTTGTGTCAAGAAAGAATAAACTAGTTTTAATTAAGAAAGGACTTGTATCGCTGAAGTTCCTCGGAAAAAATTTATACTGGCAATTATGGAAATTATTAAATGAGCAGATATGTAACAATACAATTTTTTATCAGTTTTGGGTCAGCACAATCTCATGATTAGGAGGGTTGACTTGTGATTTGAGGGTATCAGCCTCAGGAGGGTATTTGTTTCTTTATTTTTGAGTTATGACAGTGACCAAGGCTATATGTTACTGTCCCTTATTTTGAACTGCTAACTAAAGGGAAAGCAACTGGCTAGCAGCACCCATCACTAACTATTGGTTCTACTTCAGAAGTAAAGGAAGTGTAAATTTATAATTGTATAATCGTATTTTTTGATGTTGAATAAAGTGTAAAATGTGTTTCTTCATCATGTTATGTTGTAATTTATAATTTCTGTAACTTTATTCTTTAGTTTTAAAGAAACTACTAGTTCACTTTTTCTACATTGTGAGTGCATTATGTTTGTAACAGCTACTTTCTTGAATTTTTGTTCTGGCATAAGTTACAAGCACTCATATTTCTGGGACCCACAACTTGCTGATCATAGGGCAAATACACATGAAGCAGTATTTATTCACTCAGTCCTGCCAGCCATTTAACCATGGGATAATTACAAATGTAAATGAACTAATTGATTTTCAGTAAAGAATAAGAACATCAATAAATTGCTACTTGCAAATGTTAATGCTCAATAATTGTTTTTTTAATGTAGCAGAATGAAAGCATGATATAAATTTGTTTAATATTGTGCTTTACATTGTTCAGAATAAAAGTAAGTATAATAAAAGATGTTAAAATTTTATAAAGACAAGTAGGTATCGATACATAAGTAACCTATCTAGCTATAGTAATATAGAAAATTTTAATGCTACAAAAAATATTCTGACAAGATAGTCAAAACTACATAAGCTATGTTACTTAAAATTTAATTTTTTATTTTTACTTTGGCAAATCACTGTAATTATGTTAGTCTGAGCCAAAGTAGGAATAAAATTTTTTAAATTTCATGTAACTCAGTTTTCTTTCTTTCCATCTATGTTGTTTTGACTTTCTTTTCAATACTTCTTTGTACCATTAAAACTTTCTATATTACTGTAGTTAGCTAGGTTAAGTATATATCAATCCCTACTTGTCGTTATAAAATTTATAAATTTTTTGTTACACTTGTTAGTTTCCTTTGTATTAGCTATATCTTTTTGTGCTAGAAGTACCAAGTGTGGGGTGCGCATATATCCTGTATCATTTTATTACCCATCAAGATCTCTACCAACCTACCTTCATATCTACTTTTGTGCCCAAAGTAGTGCATTGTTCATTTTATATATACATACAATAAAGGAATCATTGGGACCTCAGACGGAAGAGTTCTGTAAAAGAATTAGAGCAACACGGTTCATCATTTTTTCAGTATGCTTATCTGGAAAAGTCACTTACTTAGATGAGAATTTGTTGAAATAGTGAAATTCCGATACGATATAATACCTCTGTTCACATAAACAGATTTGGTATTGCATATGCCTCAGGCCATTTGGTGAAATAATTCATCACCACACAAATGTACCTGTTTCCAGCTCGAGTTTGGGGCAAAGGACCAGCATTGTCAATGGCCACTCTTTCCAATGGTGCGCCAACTTGATATAACTTCATTGGAGCACGTCACTCATGCTAGGGTCCCCCTTTGGCACATGTACTGCAGGTCCTGCACCATTCTTCCATATCTTGCCTCATACCTATCCAGTAAAATCTCTGCCATAGGTAACTCTATGTCTTCTTAACTCCAAGATGTCCTCATGTCTAACTATCATGGGATTGATGCAGCACAACTTCCTGTAACTTTCTCGGTATAACTGTTTGCCAGGTCATCACTTTCCCATCTCCGGACAAAAATACCATCTTCAAGCTTCAAGTGTTCCCATTGTGCCTAATAGTTTTTGTCACAGGGCTTAAGCTGGACACCTTCTCCCAAGCAAGGTGCAAGACACTTGCTTGTAGACAATCAATTATTGTCTTCAAATCTTGGTCTTTCTGCTGTTCTGCTTTAATATTTATAACTGGTTCCACTTCACCACCATCAACTCCTTCAGTCACTTTGACTTCAGCTTGATGGCACCTGGTTAGTCCAACCTCTCTTTTAACACTTACCGGAATTTGGCCTTTGTTGCTCCCAAACATCATTTTATCAAAGTTAACTACTCACTTCCTTGTTAGTAAGTAGTCC